GACGAAGAAAATGTCGATAAGACCGTTAGACGAGAAGTTTCAAAGTCAAAGAAAGAGATTCGTTCTCTAGGGTTATTGCACGGGGATCTTCGATGGCAGAATATCCTGTGGAACGCCGAGCTCAATAGGGCGCTTATTATTGACTTTGATGCGTCCCAGATGGACCCACGGCTAGCAAAGAAGCAGCCGAAGCAACTTAAGCGCAAACCATCTAGGCCAAAGGGTGCTTTATCCGAAAAGATTAATCATGGAGAAGTGAAGAGTGAGCGGAAACGACTTCGTGTGCTTTGATAGCCACTGTAGTCAGGAATGAGGAATGCTGAGCGGATAGTTTTGGATACCCATACAGGATATATATATGGACATTTTTGCCTGGATATTTTTAATGATTTGATTAGAATTGAGAACTAATCTAGAGAGTGGTTTAAATCAAGTATTTGCGTTCTGAAGACATCATCAAGGCAGATATTTAAAAGGCACTGCCTGCCTAAATAGGGGAATGCAATGCAAACAACGAGGAGATCTCAAAAAGTTCAATCAAATGAAACCAAGTCAAAAGGGACAAAATGTGAAAAAGAAAAGAAAAGCACCAACCCCATTCACTCCCGGCCAAGTAGATAAAACGAGAAGCAAAGTTGAAACGAGCCTAAACTCCCATGGTGAAATCGTGTTCGATGCCCGGCGTGACGCTGGCGATGAACTTGAGGAAAACAACCAGGTACTGATCAACCCGGATCGCAACCTCTTGGTCTGCCTCATCATCCCCTTCATGCTCTAGAACCTCCCACTCGTCTCCCGCACTACTGCTCCCACCCTTAGACTTATCTTCTCCAGAGACCTTCAGTTTCTCCGTATCATCCACAAGGCCCTCTAGGCCAGCTTCAACCTTGTCCTTGCCCTCCTTGGAGCGCTTCGACTGTTTCTCACGGCGGATCTTCAGCGCGGCATCGGCACGGTCGAGAAGGACTTTCATCACACTTGCGTGCTTGCAAGGGTGGACGCTAGCCATCTTCACACCTCCGTCGAAAAAGGGGAAGTCTTCTAGCGTGACTGTCTTGTCCTTGTAGTCGCCTACTATATCCTCCATCATCAGGTGGGGAGGCAGTGGTTCTGATACGGCGGCGTAGCCGGATAGATAGAGGCGAGGGGTCTTGTAGTATGGGGTATAAGTTATGTAAAGTGAGTATGTTCGCAGGGGACTAGATAGACATGTTAGCAATAAGAAGCATATATCTTGAGCGAAGTATACGAGTGGCTAAGACTCACGCATTCTTCCCGCCCTTCTGAGCTGGTTCCCGAATGATAGCTTCCTCATCGTCCTCTTCATCGTCCATATCAGGAATCTCTTCATCCTCTTCTTCTTTCTCAGCTACGTTCCCCGAGTCATCGACTGTCCTGACGTCCTTCGCATGCGTCTCACCGGCGCCCTCATCGCCACCTGTATTCAACCACCCGTCGTCATCACCGTCTCCGCCTGCGCCAGAAGACTCTCCCAGTTCACCCTGTATTATGATATCCGCAGCCTTGCCGGCGAAGTTCTCATCTAATCGGCGGTTACATGGTACCCCGCGGGTGACGAGGAACTGCTTCTCCTCCGGCAAGTAGGAGACTCGTTTTGACGGCGACGACGCGGCGGACCACGACCAGGTAGGGAACTTGTAGACGAGGTAATCTCCGGCGCGCACGAACTCTTCAGGCGTCACTTGGCCGGTATTTCTGAAGGTAGAGACGTTTGAGATGGGGGCCAGACGGTCCCGGATATCGTTTAGTTTGGAACGGATAACGTTCATCCTGCCGAGTTATCTTGCTCTTCTTCCTCTGCTTGTTCTAGATTTCAAAAAAGATATATGGGTGGTAGATGTTGTAGATGTGTGTATGTTACAGAGTTGCCTGGCGGTTGCAGGGTGCCGTTTGAATGTCGTGCAGTGAGATGGTGGTGGTGGTGGTGGTGCCTGGCGAAGGCGCTTGACAGGGTGGGATGATCTCTATGACATTTTTCACGTGCTTGGCGGCTTTCTTAAGAGGTCTCTAGACGGTCATATATCATTTATCCGCTAGGAGGACATGCATATATATCTACAGCTGCTTAGACGATGATAAGTTTGTGGTCATTTCTTTATCGTACATGGGCCTCTGGTGACTCTTGGGGTGTCGGCTGGCCGGCCTGTTTGCTGCTAGACCCGCTTTATCAAGGTAGTTTACCAAGGTCTTGAGACGGGACCTGAGTACTCCTTTAGGGAGCTCCTCTTGAAAAGCATCCGTTTGACGGCTCTGCTCGGTGGTGTTTTCTTTGAGCTGTTGCAGATGCTCTGTATGTCGCTGTTCAAACCGGGACTCTCTCTCTCTCGTAGGTGAATATAAAAATATTCTTCCCGAGGCGACAGCGGTGGTAGACCATGGGCAGGTGGCATCACGACTCAGCAGAAGCGGCCTGCTGACGTCTAGATGCCTCTCGCTCAACGCAGCCAACGGTCAAGGGGACAACTTTGCCCTTCCAGTACTCATGTTCAGCCCTAGCAAATCCATCCATGCTCCTCATGGCGACAACTAGGAATCCCAGCTCCTCCCGATCAACGTCAAACACCTCCCACCACTCACTGTCAACAATCTTGACTCCTTGCTCCCTTGCAGCGAGGTAGATAGCGGCCACAGCCAGCGCATTCGGCTGGTGAGTTAGATATAGGATCTGAGGCGAGAACAAGGCGGCGTTGAGATGTGCGAAGGTACGCGCAGCCACGGAGGAAGAGGACACCTTGAGAGTCTGCAGGTAAGTCAGGGCGATGGTATGCGGTAGAACGACCCTTGTGTGAAAGGAAGCGGTGCGTAGGACAGCCGACTCGGTCTTCATCAGGTTCTGGCGTTCAATCTGGTATGAGCCTTCGGACAGGTAATAGCTCTCTGGCTCGGGGTGTTCGGGAGCTCCCTCTGGATTGACGAAGGGTAGAGGTGAAGCTGTAGGGGAGAGTAGATACGTGTACACGTTGAGCACCGAGCGAGGCGATACAGGGTAAAAAGAGAGCTTCGCAGTCATGTACAGGGCTACGGCCGATACATCCTGTTCAAGGTCGTTAGTTATAACAAACACCGTAAAGGCCGAAAAGTGAAATGGGGCGCACCTTTGCAGAGTAGACTGCCAGACTGCCTCCCTCGGGGCCGACCCAGAACCGTGTAAAGACGACTATCGCCTGGGCAATGACATCCTGCGGCAGCTGAAGCAACACTCCAGCAGCCTGAGTGAGCCTGACGCCCGCATATCGAACGGACCTCTCGAGCTCCTCGGGCACTCCGTCCAGCGACGAGGAGGAGTGTTCCAGCTGCGCCGGAGAGGCGAGGGCGTTTGACAGGTGGCCCAGCTCGCTCTCTGCGCCCGACATGACTTCCTGCGCCTTGTTCATGCCGCTGTATCAGCCAGCAGCCAACATGTCGACGTCAGGAGCTATTGGGAATCAGTCGCTAGAAGGTGTTGGGTGTCTATGGCGACTTCCACTCATCAGCCACCAGCGCCCTTCCCCTTCCATCAGAAAGTCCTTGATGGTCTAATGGTTATGATTTCCGCTTGTCAACTTCGCTTAGTAAGCGAGTAACAAGCGCGGGAGACCGGGGTTCGATTCCCCGTCAGGGAGCTCTTTTTTTTTTTTCGTCTTTTTTTTTTTATTTCACTGCCAACGTCACTCCTTTGAACCCGATGGTGTAGCATATCATGCAAGGAGAGGAATTAGGATCAGGTAGTGCTGACAGATCATCCGACCTTCGGTGTCTCATGGCCGTTGCAGAAAATGGATGCCTTAAAGGCAGACAGACAGTCCCCGTTTCGCGCATGCGATGGGCGAATAGCAGCGCTTGCCGTCTGGTTGGCGGCTGGCAGGTAATGAATCAAACCGTCGGGGATGCATGCACAACTCCAGCAATCACCCGCCGCTGCCCTATAGGATCCTCCGCATACCTCACATCCATCGGTGTCCGGCCGTGTCTAACCTCAGCCTTGGACCGGGCTTATTTAAGGGATGGAGGGATGAGCTATGACATCCGTGCATTAAGGTTATTTTCATACCAGACATTCCAGGTTATTAATGCCTAGATGTTGATTTGATACCCCGTCTAGATCGTGGCAAAGGACAAGGCCAGTTTTTGATTCAGCCGTGTAGAGACGGAAACATATGGCAGCCTTGACTATTAATTGGTAGCCGTGGTGGTGGCTATCAGTGGCAACCTTGCATTCTTGTTTGAAAAGGGGGTGAGCAGTTACTCCATAGGGCGTGAGATCGTTTGCTCTTTGGAGGGTAACCGTTATGTCGGTGAAGGAAGCGTATCGACCTGTCGAATAACTATCCAAACTTAACGTCCCACAATGCAGAGGAAAGCAAAGCGGTCAATCGCCGGGAAGATGCACACTCCAACATATGCATACATAAGGTGAGAAAGATGGATATTGATGGACTAGCCAATGAATGCACGAACGTATGATACAGCGGCCCGAACACAACTTCATATATATCTAGCAGTGGTTATATGTACATCGAGTCATATCCTATATACAAATTTCCGAGAAGACAGACAAAAAAAAAGGCAAGAAGACGACGACGTTGGTTGTAGATATAAAAGTAAAACGTAATGTTGAATAGAGCAAGGAGAAAACGGCACGACCAATTTTCAAACATACAGGCCATCCAGGCTTTTAGGTGGCCATACAAACACGGAGTGACTCAAGAGCAGCCTCCCAACGCTAAGAAACGACGACATAGAAAGAGTTGTAGAAGTTGTAGATAGGATAAATAGAAATATAAGTGAAAGAGAAGGAAAAGAGAAGGAACAAGGGCCGATCCCGGATGTTGGTCTAGAGATTGGCGAAATTAATGAGATGAAATATGAGACATCATGGCTCCTTGTCCTAGTAGGAGGTCGGCCAGCTAGTACCTGTAGTTTCGACCAGGTTGCTTTGGAATATTCCATTTTTCGATTGTCATTCTATTTCCTGCCTTTTTGTGACGTTGTGACAAGATTCATGCGGTTGCCTCGGAAAGCACCTCAGCAGCCTTCCTAAAGAAAGGGACTCGCTCCGAGTACCGTTCAAGCTGCGGGACAAGATCCTTTATCTTGAACCGTCGCTGGGAGGAGTCATACGTAAACCACCGATCCATCTACCTCACCGTGTTATCAAACCAAGTCAAACAGAAGCAAAAAAAGAGAAAAAGGAGAAAGTAAATACTTACGGAAGCAAGCCTGCATCCGAGCCACAGACACCTCTCGGCCCTGACAAACGCAGTATGAGCAAGCTCCAACATCCGCTCTTCGTCCTCCGGCAGCTCTGTATTAACAAAGTGTCCGTCAGGGAAGTAGAGTCTTGTCCAGGTTAGGCCGCGTAGGTCAAAGTCTTCAGGAAGATAGTACTTAACGCCCACATCCCTGGACTCAGGGAGCGGGAACTCATCACTAGCAATCTTGGACTCGCTTACACGGTGGCGGTTAAGGGTATTAAGGAAAGTAACTAGGTCGCGGAAGGGGATAAGGGGTTCAAAAACAAGCATTGCCTCTGGGGCAAGGGAGAGGGTAAATAGAAAGGCGAGAGAGACGTGAATTGCTGGGAGGACGTTTTTATCACCTATTTGGCGGAGCAGGAGGGAGAACGTATGCATAGACTGGTAGATGGTATAGTGGAGAGGGCTAAGGGAGGAACTGAATCTCGTGCTAGATGATGTAGGAATAGTGTTAACCAGAGAGATAAGGGGCTCTGATTGGGTGCAGGTACTCCAGTAGGCTCTTGCAGAGGGGATTCTGCACTCAGCTGGTGTTGCTATAGCTGTGTTATATAGACCCGTCAGCGTCTTACCCATTTCTGGTACCAGGGCGTTGTCATTGATAAAGAGCATAGCAAAGTTGGAGCAGGAGATATGGACGCCTTGTCCGCGGAAGTTATCTCCCATCCGGCCTACATGTTGAGGCAGGCAGGAGAAGAACTGCAGTGTGTGCTCGAAGTAGGAGTGGACTGACTCCTTCTTGAATATGATGCCATGTGCCTTAACGAAAGAGGCCAGTGTTAGCGGGTGACGAGTTTGCTGCTTGGGGCGGACATGCTTGTGTAGCTTTTGCTGCTGCTGCTGCTGCTGCTGCTGCTGCTGTGGCTGCGGTTGTGGCTGCTGTTCTTCTTCCAGCAGCGGGTTGAATAGCAGCAAGATACTTTCCTTCGAGCTGGCAAAGGGCTCAACACAGACCAGGGACTTGGTATAGTAGAACAGCTGGGCCAGGATATATGGTCTAGCCAGAACAGCAGAGTGGTGCTGAATCCGGCCAATATTAGGCCCCTTATCTGCTGCCAGTCGATACCAGTACCTAGCTACCTCAGCCCAGTTCTCGCGGTTTTGTAGATCAACCTCTTCCACTGCCATCTGATACCTGGCCAGATCGCCAAGGCACTCTATCCAGATGTTTGCAAAAGTAGGCACACTCTCGAGCAAGAGAGTCATCATAGAATAGGCAGTATAGATAAAGGATATCATATGTTCCAGGGAACCGGGTAGTCTGTGCCTCAGTAGCTCTAAAAAGGAGTGCACCCCATGCCTCCACATCCGAGCAGGCATCCCATACTCTGTAGCCAGCTTCCGCAGTCTCTCCGTGGCAGAAGGGTGCTGGGAAGCCAGGAAGAAGTCATGGTGTTCATGTAGCAGGGTCCTATGGATGGCTATCAGGGCCTTCCACTGGTCATTATTCAATTCCGTCCTGCTATTGAGCTGCTGCATGTCAATCTCAACACACTTCTTCTCGACGACGACGAGCCCAGAGTAGATGCCCTGCACCTCGACAATAAGCTGGTCTTCAGCAATCTTCCTGGTCTCTGGCTGCAGGAAGAGGTCTGGAGAGCAGGGAATGCTATGTGGTAGGGACTTATCATGACCACTGGCGTCTTCATCTTCTCCTGCCTGTTCATCAATTCCGTCGTCGTCATCATCATCGTCCAGGTCGTCGTCTATAGCTTGGTCCATGAACCCGTCATCAGCAGTGGCAGGCCTGGTCTGGAAAAAGACACCGCCTCTTTCGACCGTGTGAGGGTGCGAGTGAGAGCACCGCTTCGAAGACGGCAACCCACGTTGTCCGTCCGGCTTGCCGTCACCATTTCCATCTTCATCAGCGTCTCGCTCGGAAGCAGGACGCTTCTTCGGCGTGGTGTTACATTGGCTGTTTTGGTGGTGCTGTAGGTCCCGTGGGCTGGCCAGGTTGGACTTGGACTGCCGTCGACTGCGTGCCTTGGGAGTGAGCTCCTGGAGATTCAGCTTCTGCAGGGCCGAGGCATCCGGCGAGCGAGTCCTGGCTGCCGCCGCCGTCAGCGAGTCCTCCTCCAGTCCGGTGGTCCGGGAGGCTGAGACCGAGCCCGGGGCTGAGGCTGAGGCGAGGGGGGATGGCGAAGGTGACGGTGACGAGGATGACCTGGGGGCAGCCAACCAGCGCAAGTTAGACCATGAAACAGACAAGAGAGACACCAGGGCGAAGCTAGACAGACGCTTACTGTTCAACTTTGTCGAAGCTTGACCATGACGTCCCGCGCAGCGACTGGGCGGCTGCAGGCTTATTTTGGTCCTGGTGGTGGTGGTGGTGGTGGTGGTGGTGGTTTTGATGACGCTGCCGGTGGTCGAGATCTACGCGCACCATGATAGGCGAAGCTGCGGCCAGAGCATGCCAGGACAGACAGACAGACAGACAGACAGACAGACAGGGCTCTCGACCGAACTAACCAGAGCTCAGCGGCGGCAGCAGAAGCCAGAAAGGAGAGATAGGGCTCGGGTTAGATCTTGAAGGTCTGCTATCCATCATGCTGGCGATGGGTATAAGTAATAAGTGGACGGAGTCTTTTCTCAAAGCGGCTGCAGGACTTATGCTTGCTGCCTGCGAGCCAGAAAAAGCAAATTACACCAAGTACAGATCGCTAACTCAAGATTCTAGGGGCTGACTGTCGTTGTCGTTATCAACAGTCTAGACGGCGCCCTGGTTTGTTTGTCGTGTGTGCTAGGTGTCTCCAGTGAGCCCCTGGCGAGCAGCCGGGGCAGTCGTTGATATCTAGTTATCTAACTTATCTCCCTGCCAGTCTTCGGTCTACAGTATAACTACAGAAGCACGCCTACAAAATAACCCACCATGCGGAGTATTCACAGTTAGGCGGAATCACATCACTTACTACTTGATGGCCTGCAGCCGCACTTCCGCCTGGTTCCCGGACATCCCTGGCTTGCAGAGGGGCAGTGCAAAAGAAGCAAAGTGACACGGCATTAACTAATGGATATTGGACAGGAGTTACCAAGATACGGGGTTGTCTGCGGTCGCTAATGTCTCCTGAATGTGCCTGTTTTCAAGGGTGCTTTTGTCTCAAAAGGTATGATATTCTCATTAGTAGCTCCCTCTCTACGGAGTACTCGGTTATTAATAGACTGGTTCGCAGGCATATAGCCTTGTCATAAACTCGTTAACGTCCACTGCTTTGAAAATCACAAAGGATGGCCCGACACCTCTCACAAGGTCATGTTTTGGCTGCCTTGAAGCTGTGGGCGCCCGCATAATTGCCCGGAAGGGGCATGTACAGGCAGAGGCTCCTTGGACAGTAGACAAGCCACTCTCATAGACATTCCTCTATAGGCCATATTGGCTGACCGGCCAAAGGTCATGCAATACAGCGGCTGGCAGATGGTGGTCTCTACGGTAGATGGTTCTCTCTTGTCTACCAAGGTGGTCAGGCCATGGCAGGTGATACGAAGCGGGTGATGCTTACACAAAGGCAGAGAGGACAGACTAGACATATAGAGAAAAGAGCAGCCGGAAAGGGGGGGATTGTTGATTGCTCTTCTACGACAGTTACATACAAGGTATATATCTATGGCATTAGGTAGCTTGACTGTCGGGACCGGAGCCGGAACCGAGACTGAGGGGGAGAGAAGAGAGAAGCCGTCCATTAGTTGACTAGTTATCGTGACATTAAGCCAGGCTACCTCGGGAGCTAGCTAGACAACTGCATTAAACTAGATGAATCATGCTGATCGAAGTTGGCGGGTGCACAGCAACTGAAACAGAGAACAGGTACAGACATGTCTTTGAGAAAGGGGTTCAAGATGCAAGGTACATACAAATGCTCTAGAGCGAAGAAAACAAGCAGGGAGTAGGGGGAAAAGGGGCATAGTGTATGTAGTTAACGAGTTCAAAGGTCCAACGCGGAAAGAGAGAAGCTAGATTCCAGCCAAAGTAAACTCCGTTTGGTTGCAAAGTCGTGTATTCGTTTAGATGCGATGGAACGGCCCGGAATGCGTGATTGAAAAAGTGATATGCAAGGTTGTCATGCGAGTGAGAAGAACAATCATGCCTAAAGTGATGCGATGATGCTCGGAGAGAGAGTAGGTTGAGTTGACGTCAGAAGTGCAAAAAAAAGGCAGACAGGCAAAGGCTGTTCGGTTAATTAGTTTAGACTACGTCTGCGGCTAGGAGATGAATATCCGAAGCTGCAGATGGGAAAATTCAGCCATTGGTTACATCTTGCATAGAAACATGGGAAAGGGCGGAGGCTTACTCTCTGTTTAATTGTCGTTCGACACACGGGACAAGCTGGCGGCGGCGCTGGACGGCCAATTTGTCCCGGCTTCGGAAGGATATGCTGCTCTGCACACCATCTGCAGAGAACCGCATGACCGCAGGGGATAAGCGCGGTGTCAACGAGCTGGGTCATACACACTTTGCATTCCATATTGACCGTCAGGTTAGCTGAATCCTTGGGCTCCGGGCGGCCATCGATCTCGACATCCAGCCCTATCATTGGCGCTGGCAGGCGGACGTTGGCAGATGTTTGTCCAAGTTGCCCCCGACGTTGGTACTGGCGGAGCATTTGGAGGCGTTGATCCGTGCTCATGGTTCTCGCGAGCCCTCTGTCCATAGCGGCCAGGTAGTTGGAAAGATACTGCGGGTTGAGGATGTTGTCGCTGGTGTAACGAGGTCTGTAGCCGGGAAAAACAGGCTCCTGGACTGTTGGAGACTGGAAGTAGCGGTGTTGGCAGCAGCAGATGACGCTGCTGGATTAAGCTGTGGTTGAGAACCACTAGCTGTAGACGGCTGCTGGGTAGACGATGCGGGAGATACACGCAGAGTTCTCATACGGACTCGGCGTTGAGTCAGGCCATCACTGCCTACTTGCCCCTGGTGACGAGCAGACTCATGCTCGGAAGAGGCCATGTCTTGGGCACTACGGCGACGCTGGGCCGGAGTTGTTGGCATCCCTGACGAAGAAGGGTTAATCGAGTAGCCGAACGTCTCGGAGTCCTGGCTCTGGTTCTGGTTCTGACCTTGACTGTGGCCTTGGTTCTGGTCCTGGTCCTGGTCCTGATCCTGATCTTGATCCTCATCCTGGTCCTGATCTTGCATTTCTGATTCCTGGGGCTGATCTGGAGAGGAGCCAAAGTCCATGGCCGACCCCATAATCTCACGTATGTCACTAGCAGATAATCGCGGACCCGCTGACCCCAATGGAAGGACGGGTCTGGTATCCTGGTGAGCTTGCTGAGGCGTTGTAGGTGATGCAGCGGAGAATGCAGGAGATGATCCTGGCTCCTGGCTTGCCTGTCTCTGCGAGAGCTGCTGTCCCAGTAGGATATCAGGGTCGTAGTCAGACCGCCCTGCTTGGGTACTAGCGATAGCATCCTGATATCCAGCCATGAAGTGGTTGAAGTTCTGGTTGGTATCATTCACGTCAGGTACGGATGACGAGTAGAAGCCAGGAACGGGCTCTGCGAGACTGGTCAAGTCAGACGGGCTGGATCCCTGCAGTCTGGCCAAGCTATCATAGTTGAAACCGCCGCTGTGGATTTTGTTGATGGCGTTGGTATTATTAGCAGTGGTATTATTAGCATTGATATTGGCACTGCTGCTGTTGCTGCCAGCACCATCGTTCTGCCGTCTTGCATACGGCACCAGGTAGCCAGCTAATGAGTATGTCAGTTTTGATTATTTCACTTGTTTTTTAATTCGCTTTTTCAGGGCGTCTTACTCGTCACCTGGGGGTTTGCTCGCTGCCTACTCTGAGGAGAAGACAGGCCGTGCTGGAAGCTGCCAGGATACGCTTCCATGGACTGGTGTCTGGACCTGGTGGTGCCCGACCCGTAGCCAGGCTGGCCGTAGTTGGGCGGCATGCCGCTGCCGTCCGAGTAGCCAGCCGAGCCTCTGTTGCTCGAGGTGAGCCACTGCAGGCGGTCGGCCTGGTCCAGGGCCTGCGGGCTCACGGGGGCGTTTTCTGGAAAGGGCCAGTTTAGCATTGGCTCTTCAGAGCGTCTGCGAAGAGGCGGATGGAGACGGGCAGGGGGAGGAGGAGGAGGAGGAGGCATCTTTGCTCTTTGCGGTTCTGGACTGGTGAGAAGGCAGAGATGCGCGTGCAGAGACAAGCAAGAGAGAACAGTCCGGACCAAGCTAGGAGAGACACGATTGTGTGTAGAAGAGTGGAAGTGCAGAAGTGCAGTGAAGGAGGTGAAAGAAATAAAAAGGGGCAGAGAGAGTGTGTGTGATATTGATATGCCCTGGCCAGGAGGAGGACAAGAGAGACCAGACAGCTGGTGAATCCAAGCAAGAAAGATATCAGACAGGCCAAAAGAGGACAGGCAGGCAGTCCACCCCCTTTTTAGCGCCCTTTTTATATATTATATCAAGAAAACAGGGGAGGACATGGTGATAGCAGGTGATAGCAAAAGGTGAATGAATACAGAGAAGATACAGGGACATTTGACTGACCACTAGAGGCTGGGTGATGGCGACGGTGGTAATTGACACGGCGCTCTGCCTCCGGGATATCCAACAGACGGCCCTCGACAGCGGGATAACGGGGATACGCTGGTAACAGAGGCGGAGGCGGAGACGACAGGCTGGCCCTTCGAGGTGGTATATCAGACACGCGCTGGGGCAGACAGGCAGACCTCTTGCGAGATCCAGGACGGCCAGGCTGCGCGGCTAGACACGACATGACGGGTATCAAGCATCCAGCAACATCCGCATAAAAAACTCCTTTTTCTCTTCTTCAACGGCACTCGGGAAGGGCGAGATCTAGATGTTCAAAAAGTACACGGCCTTAGCGAGGGTATGTGTATGTATATATATATCTATATTTGTTTATGGATATACGGTCCAGAGGTCCTCCCCCAAGGTCCCTTGCAGAAGACGAGAAAGGCGCATGTCCGAGTCCAGCAGATCAAGGAGTCACAGTGAAACAGGCCGGCAGGGCGAAGAGGTAAAACGAAGGAAGAGAGAGAGGGAGGGAGGGAAAGAGGGAGAGCACCAACCGATCCTGACACTGCCGTTGACGCTGACGCTGACGTTTGATATTAGCTAGTTATACTCCTGCTGTGGTGACGGCCATGGATGTCACCACCATCAGACACATCAAGAAGACGGACAGACGGACGCAGAGAGAGGAGAAGAAGATGAGAATGAAAAGAATAAAATGGTAGCTATTCTAGAGAGAATAGCAATCTATTCAGCGCGACGAGGGAGATACACAGTACGGATAGGGACAGGATATATAGGCTGTGGTATCAGGTCCCGACGGCGGTTTAGCTGATATCTGGCTGTTCTTTCGGCCACAAACCACACGATACGAAGATCAACCGCTTAAGCTAGTTAACTACCAGCCAGGGGGGGGAAGAAGGGAGAAGAGGAGGAAGCAAAAAGGAAGAAGAGAAAAGAGAGAAGAAGACGCCGAAGAGAGACGGCGGCCTTTATAAAACGATGCTCAGGCGAAGATGATTGAAGGCAAAGGCCTCCTCACATGACGGAAGACGCAAACGAGGACGCAAGCAGACGAAGAGAGCCAGAGACGAGAGGCTCCAGACAAGCCCTCTGACATCAGGATAAGTTACCTCAGGGCGAGAAAGCAAGAAAAGGAAAAGAACTTGCCGGACCCAGATGGCGGACGAAGATGGCCCCGAAAGCTGATCCAGGAGGCGAGCAAGCTAAACGGTGAACGAGAGAACGAGACACCACCTCCTAGGAGCCAGCCAACTCTCAACTCTCCCAACAGTCTCTGCTCTGGCTAACGCAGGCAAGGGGCGGGGGATGGCGCAGGACGGCGAAGAAAGAGGCACAAGCAGCAGCACCAGTTAGAGGGATGAGAAGCGAAGAAGCAACGAGATACTGATCCATGACCTTGAAGATCAGAGACGCTGCTGGCTGGTTGGAACCAACATCTCCCTCTCGCTTCTTCGTTCCATCCTCCTGTCTGTCTGCTGCTGCTTCTGGCCCTGCCAGAGGATGACCAACCCCGAATCTGAATCCCAGTTGGTCCAGAGGGACGAGACAAGAGTGTTGCATCGGCTGTACAGGAGGATCCGATTTGCTCATGGAACAAGGGAAGACCGAGACCTGGTGGCTGGGATCTACCGTCTCTGGCCATCATAATTATTATTATGCATCACACACACACCAACCTGCATACATACAACATATACATCACAAAAAAAACGAACTCCAAAGACAGTTAGCTACCGAGCAACTGAGTTCCGCCTGTCAGGGCAAGCAAAACTGGAATCTGATCGAATCGAGGCCGAGAACGAGATGACAGCATCAACCAGGTTTTCAGCCGCGGAGGCTGCCAGCTCGAACAAGATACAGCATGCCCTTCGACTCGGCTCGTCCCTTTGCCACATGATATCATGAAGCCGACCAGATGCGAACAGACAGCGTTTTCTCCAGCAAGGAAGAGCCCGCTCTCGCATCTCATTCTCCACGCCCGCCCGGGGGTGTCGTTAATTCCGTAGCTACATAGCACGGGGTATTATTACATACAGCCAACGGGGGCCCCATGGAGAAGTCAACGAAGTAGCTACATAGCTAGCGAGTCAACCTGAAGGGCATAAACATAAAACCTGTCACGAAAAAGAAACGAAGGCCGCCAGTGTAGAATGTAATGTAAAAAAAAGCTGCCGGAGATGATGTTGTTGACGGAGAGGATCTAGATCTCTCAAAATCAAGAATCAGCAACCCATCTTTTAACCACTTAACTAGTTATCAAATACGACTTGCCGCGAGACCCTATTTGCTGCCAGAGAGCCTCGGATGGCCTGTTTGACCAGTTCATTAACTAGTTAGTTAGTTAACTAGCTACTTGGCCATTCGTTAACTAGTTAGTTGGTTGTTTAGTTATCAGATCTCATGCTGAGCAGGCGTCTGCAGCAGCAACTTCGCCGGTTCTCACTGAAAGCCAGCCGCAGCACCATGGCGACATCGACGGCACCATCGAGCTTTACGCTGCCCGGCTCTGAGCCACCGGTGGCCGTCCAGTTGACGCCAGACATCTCCCAGGCGCAGCTACTGTCGTTCCCGGCATTTAAGATCTGGCTGTCGACTCTACGTCATTCGCTGTCGCGGCAAAGCAACGCTTCCCACGAGTTCCACGTCAAACCATACGCGCTCCGAGGCATCACCGTCCAGGCCGTCGACTACTTTGGCGCAAAGAAGCTGGGATTCATCAAGTTCAAGGCAGATGTGTCTACGGACGATGGGGACAGGCTGCCGGGGAGCGTCTTTCTCAGAGGTGGCAGCGTCGGCATGCTGGTGAGCATTTAACTACTTGCTACTCTTCTAGTTACTTGAACCGCTGTGCTGACTGCGAACATATAGCTCATCCTCCAGCCAGACGATCTCCCAGCCTCTTCTAACGATGAGAAACACGTCGTTCTTACCGTCCAGCCACGTATACCGGCAGGATCACTTACCTTCACGGAGCTACCGGCCGGCATGATCGACGAACACGGATCCTTCGCTGGAGCAGCAGCAAAAGAAATCCATGAGGAGACGGGGCTTACCATCAAGCAAGACGAACTCGTCGACATGAGCTCACTTACTCTGCTCAACAAGGACAAGGATACGGATCAGGATGAAACTTTGCAGAATGCTGTCTACCCGTCTCCAGGAGGATGTGACGAATTCGTTCCGCTCTTCCTGTGTGAGAAACGCCTGCCCAGAAAAGACATACAACAGATGCAAGGGAAGCTTACTGGCCTGCGGAAAGAAGGCGAGATGATTACGCTTAAGCTGGTGCCTCTGTCTAGACTGTGGCAGGAGGCTGCTCGAGATGCAAAGGCCTTGTCGGCCTGGGCGTTATACCAGGGACTAAAGCAAGATGGTCGACTGTGAAAAAACATAAAATAAATAAGAAAACTACCTCAATACCTACCTTTGTATACCCGGTGACGCCATTAGCATGGCCTGCAAGAGTGATATATGCTGTCATCTTTGCGTTGTCGGTGGTCTCAACTTCGGTTTCAGCTTTTTGACTTCTAGGTTTACCGTTTGGACCAGGCTCGCCTCTGCCACTACAAACATAAATATACCCCCAAAAACAGAGAGAGGAAACAAAAGAGTGGCTTATCTATTAGCTATTTCTAGAATCTACTTCTATCTAACTCCTCTATTTAATGGATATGCCATCATAACCGTAACTGCCGATATCTATCCGACAATCCCCCATTGCCGCGCCATCTCTATTCCCTCGGCTAAGGTTCCTACATGCGCATCAATGGCATATCCTTCCTCTCGCTCTAGCCGTTTGGTTTCCTCGAATAGTTTGGCAAGAGGAATACTGAAACTCTCGATAAACTCGTCATCCTCAAGCTTAGGCTTTGGATTCTGGTTTTCGGGCAATGACATGTCAACACGTACGTGAACCATGTTCATATTTGTGTTGCAGAATCCGGGATCTGAGTTGCTCTTTTCTGTTAGCGGGCAATTCTCGATATTTCTACCAAAGAAGCCTGTGAAGGCTCAGATGGTGTCCGTCCTTGCATTCCACTGATTACGATGCTGCAATTGGACATAACTCCCGTAACATCCGGGAGTAATACACTTTGTTATATCTTCCAACGTCTTTTGTTGCCTTTACAGCTTGCCCGGAGTCCGAGGAATCCGCCCAACGAAGCGTTAAAAAATAAACACGGATAGAAATGCTTTTACGTACCATTGTATAAGATAGGCCCTTTCTGCTGGACAACGCCAACATACCCGGTCTCTTCCCTCAGCTCACGGACAGCACACTCCTCCGCTGTCTCACCTGCATCAACCAAACCAGCCGGAATCTCAATGGTGACCATATCAATAGGAGGCCGGTACTGTTTCTGCAGCAACAGCTCAGGACCAGATGGTCTGGAGAGAATGGCAACTATGCCCACGCCATCTATCGCGGAATCTGTGCGAGTCTAGACATCGTGCTGTTAGCATGCCTTGAAGCTACATGCGTTATTTCATGGAATGCATGCAACTAGGCAAGGGGGATGAGAGAGAG